TTTACAATATGTTTTTACATAAGGTGCATATGTTTCTTTTATGCCAAATATAGAGTGAAAGAGACCAGGTGGCGCAGAGGCCTGTACATACACAAATCTTCCATATTAGTAAGGTGAAACAGGAAAAGATTTATGCTGACTTTTGAAAGGAAGGGGATAGGAAATTTCATTATTTATTGCTGTAGCTCTTGAAACTTCGTTCTTTGACACTGTTGGTTTAGAAATGATTTTGGTATTTCAAACAATGTAACTTCTTAGCTAGCATATTTGAGTTTTCGATGTCTGTAGTTTACTGAATTTTGGCCCTTTGCTACACCTTGTCAGACAAGTCACTCATCATTTGTCCTGAGCCCTCTGTGACACCAGAAGACTTCTGTGTCCCCAACAGCAAACAAGCAGACACCAGATGTGTGTCTTCAAATGCTTTTCAGTCCGACACCATCTCCCTGGAAGTATCATCATACCCTACAAGTTGAGAACTCAGTGTCCAGGACTCTTGCCTGCCTTACCTTCATAGATGTCAGCTGCAAGCCCCATTGTTTTACCTGGACTTTTGACCCATTGGCTATAAACTAGGGTTTCTGCAGCCTCCTAGGTTCCATTAATTTACTAGAATAGCTCATAAAACTCAGGAAGATAGTTACATTTACTATGAAGGATACACAGAGGACACAGATGAAAGACTGTATAAGGCCAAAGGTATAGGGGAAGAGGCATGGAGTGCCTCCATAAAGCCTGTATATTTTCAGCTATCTACAAGCCCCCTAATTGTTGTCCTTTTGGGTTTGTTTAGAAGCCTCATTGCATAACTGTGATTGTTAATAGCCAACAGACTGTGTGGGGAAACTCAGTACTCCTGTCTGTTGAGTTTTTTTGGGTCTTGTGTAGCACTGCTTCCAGGCTCAGCAATGACCCTCTGGAGTATAGAGAGTCTTATGACCTACTCTGGGCAAGGGTAGGTCAGAGAAGTTCCTCATGATCAGCTTCAAGACAGAAAGGTAGAGAAAGTTAATGTTGCTCACCTTTGAGAATCTTGTTTCTGGGACTTGCCTTGGGGAGGTTATTATCCAGAAACCATGGATGAAAACCAACATGTTTCCCATCCTGGAAATACTCTTTTTGTGAGTGCCTTAGTTGAATGTTGTGGCTGCCATATTGTTTTGAATCCATGGAAAACATTTAACTTTCTTTCAAGGTCATTTTGACTTTGAGGAAGAAGTAGATGTCACATGATGCCATGTCCAGTGAATAAAGTGGATGAGGACACCCTGTGATGCTTTTATGAGTCTTGCCTGGCACTGAGCGGCAGCATTCACTGTATTTTTTTTTTAAATCACATCTCTTAAAGATATAAAAGACGACTTTTAGAACTACTTCAGAAGGTGGCAAGAACAATAAGATGAACAGGTTCACAGCAAGAGATAGTGTTTGGGGAGATGAATGGCAATGTGTCCTTAATAAATTTAAAAACTTAAAACACTCTTGATCACCTCATGTATCTTAACATCACATATTCTTCTTAGTCTTTGCCGGGTATTTGAGAGGGTATATGTGTCTAGGCATTGTCTAGGATTAACATCTCTATCTAAATGTTTATTAAAACTGCTTTTTAAAGCTAATTTAGTAAGATTAAATGTCCTTGTAACTTCATATATTTTCTAAATTGTAAAGTCAGGTGAGCTGAAATCTACCAGTGAGAAAAAACATGTTTTGTGATTAGTGGAAAACACAATTGCCATGATTTATTTTTATTTTTCATGATTTTGTTTTTTTCTATTTGGAGTAAAAAATAGTTTTCTTTGAAGTTAGATTCAGGCTATTTCTATTGTATTGCTTTAGCCCCTAGTGACTGATTTTTGTTGGGTATAAAACAACTTGCAGACTGGGGAAGAAGAGTGTTTCCCAGCCTCCAGCAAGGGCCTCAACCGAGGGAAGGCAACCACCGTGCTCCTTTTCAATCGAGAGCATCTTAGGCCTGGATCACAAGACTGTTTTTCATTGTGCCACCACAGAAGCTGCACGGACCCTGGGCAGACCCTGCAGCACCTCAGGGAAGGGTGGTAACGCGTGTCTGCCGTCCGAGTCTGCCCAGCATGGTGGGTGGAGGATGAAGACCAAGAACTGCGTTGACTCAAAACCAGATTAAAGTATTGGAAAATGTCTTTAGAGTAAACTGCTATCCTGGCATTGATAGCAGAGAAGACTTAGCTCAAAAATTAAATTTAGATGAAGACAGAATTCGGATTTGGTTCTAAAACCAGCGGGCAAAGCTGAAAAGGTCCCACCGAGAATCACAGTTTTTAATGGCAAAAAAAAAATTGCAAAGCAAATTTCCTGGAATTAGAGGAAAACTAAACGTGGGGAACTGTCTTTCAATTGCAGAACGTGAAGAATCAACAGAAATATTAAGAGTAACATGTGATGTTTTCTTTGTGTTTAATTCAAATATCATTTTTTCTAAAAATAATATTGTAAATAATTGTGATTATAGCATGGTACATATTATATTAGGGGCACTTTTACTTATGCTAAAGAATTTTCCTATACATTTTAATGAACATTTTCAGAAAAAGCAAAAAAGAAAAGAAGAAAAAACAAAACCTTACTGATTGGGGCCCACAAGATAGCTCAGCAGACTACAGTGCCTTCGTAGGCAAGCTTAGGTGAGTGCAGAGAATGTGGTTTGATCCCTGGTACTCCATGCCATGACAGCCCTGACCCCAGGGCGAGCTGAGCTGGCCAGAGTTCGGGTGTAGTGTCGCATGCCTGTCATCCCAGTGCTGGGGAGGCTGTGAAAGCAGGAGGATCACCAGAAGTCCGAGCTGTGTAGTGAGACCCTGTAACAACCAAATACATTGAAACAAAACAAAACAGAAAAACTGATTGTGGGATTTAAAAATCTGTTATTTTTAATGTGGAAAGTAGTAATCATTGTTACCCTCCTAGTATCTTGTCTTGAAATTTCGTTTTATTGTTTTCCCGTTAAAATAAAAAATCTGTTATTCCAAGTCATGAGGTGACTCAGCTGTGTTCCATTTCTTTGGTTTAGAAACAATTGCGACCATCCTACTTATAGCTTCTAAATCTAGCGGCCAGCTCTGAGCTCAGTTGGCTTCTCCATCTGTCCTTATCACTTCTCTTGTTAGATGAGTGTCATCCTGTTTGTAACATGACCTGGTATTTATTGCACATAGCTATGCTAGGCATGGTGCAAAAATATTGTTATCCTCACCACAACTATATGTTGTCATTTCAGCTTCACTGATAAAAATGACTGTAAGAGATGTGAAGCTGCTGACCCACTCAGGACTGGAGAGTAGTAGATGTGGTCCTGGAAACAAGATTTGCCCAGCCTCTGTGGCTCAAGCCATCACCCAGCAAGCTGGGCTACATTGGTTCCTTGGTTAGGTCATGCAATGCCTGAGCTTTGATACAGTGTTTATGTTTCCAGGTTGGACAGATCTGGGTTGGAACTTTGGCTGTGCTTCTTAGGAGCTCTGTGACCTTGGGTGAATGACTAAAATTCTTTGGACATCATCTCTATTTAGAAGTTGTATGTAAAATCTGATGGTAGTTTCATTTTTCAGTGCATAGGACAAGAAAGCATTGTCAGTAATTACTTTGCTGACTTTACACAGTAGTTTGACTTATTTCATGAAGATCATTTTTGGTATGCACAGTGGCCTATTTTCCTTCTTCCTTGGGAGCACTTAGCCCTGGCCAACTTGATCTGATGCTGGGTATACCCAGTAGACGTCTGTGCCCTCCTGCGGGTCTTCACATCATTCCTGGAGGTGAAGCATCTTTTCTGAGTGTGTTAGTAGCCTTCTCTGCGAGCACATGGAGACGTTGGTACTGGATTTAGGGGCTTGAGCAAGTCGAGTGAATACTGTGGAGTGGAGGGGTGGGCGATAGTCCCATAGATGGAGACTGAGTTCACCTTTGCTATTAACACAGCTCCTGCTGGAGACAGGATAGAGTAGACCCAGAGAGAGCCTGTCACCAGAAGGGACTCTCAGGACAAAGGTGGAGGAGCTTAGGTAGAAAAGAAGAGAATGGAAGGAGGCAGCTAAAATTCTACTGAGGTGACTGTGGAACCCTTCTTTGCTGTCTATTGGAACCTTGGGCAGGGACTTGCTACAAGGCACAAAGCTTTTGTTGGCCCACACGGTATCTCAGCTGGCCATGACTGGATCAGCTTGGTTGAGGGCTGCTTGGTGGCAAGAGAAAGTGGCAAGATCCTATCTTAAAAGTTTGTTTGAATCTTTGAAAATGAAGGACGGTACTTTTATGAGCCTTTCCAGTTAACTTTTTTTGTATTCTGTGAATATTAAAATGGCATATGGCAGCTGATAGTGATGGTTCATGACTCTCTTTATGTTTTTGTTTATATATTTTTAAGTCTTTATTATTTTACATGTCTTTATTTTTTGTTTTTTTTTTTTTTTTTTTTTTGGATATGATTTGTGCTAAGTCTGAAGAAAAATAATAATGATTGACAACTGGTGAAAATGTGACTTGTCGTGTGATATTTTATGTGACTTTTTTTTTTTTTTTTAAATACAGACTGATAAAGATTTCATCCTTCAGGAGCTTTCTGGCCACACCATACTGGCCTTTCCTTAGTCTAAGTAGCATTATACTACCTAGAGGCTGAAGTCTCCTCTTAAGCCTCCTTGACGTATATGCTTTTTTTTTTTTTTTTTAAATTGGTTTGTGGTTTATAAAAATAGCCATGTTATATGATTTCATTTAGAAATAAAATGTAAAACTTAAATTCATTACTGTTTCTGTCTGCTGAATCTGTAAGAGTATCATAAATTTTTACAACTCTTGAATTGTACTAGACTTCTAATAATCAGTGTTATTTAAAATCTAGTTTAGATGCATCCTGTAAGGGAGTAAAATTATATCTCATACATTGATAGTCACTGACCTAAGTATATTACCTTAATTCAGCACCTAAATATTAAAAATTAATCTTTTTTTTTTTTTTTTAGTTTCTCAGACAAACGTTTTAGTGGAAAAGGCTTACGTTTTCAGCCATCAGTTCTAGATTTTGGAAAACAGTAAGTATCCTTTCTTTATAATTAAAAAAAATCCTCATTTTATTTATGTTATATACTTTCAGCATATTTTTTTCCCTCCTTGGATTTTTCTTTGAGATGAGGTTTCCCTGTGTAGCTCAAGCTGGCCTCTGGTCCTAAGTGCTGGGGTTAGAGGCATGTGCCCTCATCCCAGACCAGCATGTTAAATGCAAGAGTTAGTAAAAGAACTATATGCATGGAAGAGAAGTATGTAAGAGTTGTTTTAAACCTTTCTTGAATTTTAAGTGGGAAGCAGTATCTAGAATTGAACCAGGGCCCTGTGCACCCTAGGCAAGCACTCTACTACTGAATTATAACTCCAGTCTCCCTTTTTTAGTTCTTAATAAATATACCCTTACTATTTTATAGTGATTGTAACTTAATTAGATGACAGTTTGATGCTTCATTTTTGTGAAATGCAAACAACTCAGGTTGTTTGATAATGAAAACTCTAAATGCTAATGGTTTCTGAATTCCTGAAGCTAAACTCAGGTGCTGCTTGTTTTCCTTTTTTGCTATTCCTTCAGGACTCAGGGTTGCCCAGTACTGTAGGATTAAGACTGAGAACTGAAATGAAGTAGGGGACGCCACAACTTTAATCCTGGCATTACTGAATATTAGGAACTAGAAAAGAAGAACATGGAGTATGAGGGCCAGGTGAGGGCCTACCTTGGAATTTTGAAAACAGAACGAAGAATGGGAAGTTGCGGGGAGGAGGCAGTTTAGAGAGTCCTGTGTGTGGCACAGTGTGACTGTCAAGTGTTAAGCTTCCTGGATGCAGAATGTGGCAGCATTGAGTGCAGTCCAGCTTAGCACTTTCAAAGACAGGAGAAATGATGTTTCAAGAGTTCAAGCTCTGCTTCTGCCTTGGCCCATTTGTCCAGGACAAGCTTTTTTAAATTCTTTTTTTTAAAATTACTACATATGTTTCTATTGCTGGTGGGGAGTTGGCACATTTTGGGTTCAAAACAAAGTTGTATGAGTGAAATAACATGGTGCTGAGGAGCCTCCTGGGGTGGGGTCCTCGTGTCTCCATTGTGCTCCTCTTTATCCACTGGAGCTCCTGGCCACCCAGAGGTGTGAGCTGTAGTGGAGGGAAATGAATCTGCAACTTGAAATGCCATACTGTGTTTTCGAGATTTTTGTATGAGGATGAAAAGGTAAAGTGCTGAAGGGATTTTGCTGGCTGTGTGAGGTGTGTGGGCCTTTATTTAATTTTTATTTTTTCCATAATTTTATTGAGAAATAGCAATGAGACAGTTTCAAATCAAATTGGTAAGACAGTTCAAATAATTAACACATTGCATACTGCCTTCCTAGTGGTTGTTTGTTGTACAAGATTTAGAAATGATACCGTATTTACAAACACTATTAGAACAAATCCCTCTGTTCCTTGAATTAAGAGAATGTAGCTATATATCTATCCGAACCATTTTGAATGCACAGATACAAAATGGACATTCATCTATATCCCCCTTTTTTGTTTAGTTTTATCATTTAAGTATTATAGATGTGTGAACTCAGCAAAATATTCCAAAATAGTCCGGTAGTCCATAATAGTATTGGGTCTTCCACTTGACTGGTGATGTCAGAAGTTGTTGACCTGAGTCATCCCCTACAGCTCAACATAACATGGCTTTATTTCTTGTACTTCATTTTTATACTTTTCTGCTGGATGGTTAAGACCAAGATAAAGCAAGACCTATGTAACAAGAATTGTAGCTTTTGGATCTCATAAGGTCAGTCAAATCCCTTCAGGCCTTATCCTGAGACCCTGTACCTCAGATTGCAGATCCTTCATCAGCCGTGTGAATGAGTCATGGCCATTGCTTGGCGAATTTGCTCTTTGTGAAAGCCTGAGAGAATGTTTTCTCTCCTTGTGACTCTCCTTAGGCAAACTCTCCATCATCAGTCACTTTCCTCTTTGGCCCTTTAATCTCCTTGATCAGAAAATTTGGGACACAACTGAGTTACATGATGTTACACTACAAGTTCTGATATGTCCTGAGTCTTAATTGACCTTGGAAGGCTAGGGCCAAAATGTTGGCTTTCCTTGCGGCCTTCCTTTTTCTCAAATTTTTGGTCTGCAAACTTAGGTGGTTAACCCTCCAAAAGAGAAGCTTATTGTTATTGCCATATAACCTAGACTGTTGAGCTTAACCTCACTATCTGTCTGAATATCAAACATCTTATGCATAACATGAAACAGGTATTTTTCATAAAGTATTCATATGTTAAACTTTAAGTCCCTACAGAATATGACCAAAAAAATTTAAAAATTAAAATATATTTTAAAAACAGGAATAAAGAATATGTTTACACATAAGTCCAGAAATCTAACCATATACATCATTGTTGCAGGACAGTCCCACAACACTCCTTTTCCTGTCTCCTGCCTTCATTTACCACCCCCTTCCTTTTTAAATAATCATCTACCTGAGAGACAGCATGGCAGCAACTGGCATGTCATGACAAGCAGCCCGTATTCAGAAGACCAGAATGACAAGCACTCCAAGCATGAACCTACTGTTACAAATTGCCATCTTCAGTGCAGTTGTTTAGTTCACAGGTGTCAATATATATAGTTAGTCAGGGTGAGAATCCTTCCAATTAACTGCTAGATTAGAAAATCTTCTGAAGATTCTCAGGATCATTGCCTTGCCCACCTTGTACATATAATTGTATGGCTTGCCTCTGTCATGTTTCCTAGTTCTTCTCCTTGCTCTCCCTTGTCTAGTCCTCAAGTTCTTACTTTCCTTTTAATTGTATTATACCTTTCTATTTGTATTTCTTCTTTTGAGTTGTTATACTAGGGAAACTACGATATTTACACATGTGTGTCTGTTTATTTCACTTATGAGTATATCTTCAAGTGGCATCCACTTAAATATAAAGGCTTTGAGTTTATTATTCTTAATAGGTGAGTGATAATCCATTATATAAAAGTACATCTTTTTCATCCATTCCTCAGGTGATGGGCATCTTGGTTGTTTCCAAGATTTGGCTATCACAAATTGTGCTGCTATAAACATAGGCACACATATATCCCTATGATAT